CTGCAGAGAGCTGGGACCAAAGTAACAAAGCCTACCATCAGTAACACACTACGCCGCCAGGGACTCAAATCCTGCAGTTCCAGACGTGTCCCCCTGCTTAAGCCAGTACATGTCCAGGCCCATCTGAAGTTTGCTAGAGTGCATTTGGATGATCCAGAAGAGGATTGGGAGAATGTCATATGGTCAGATGAAACCAAAATATAACTTTTTGGTAAAAACTCAACTCGTCATGTTTGGAGGACAAAGAATGCTGAGTTGCATCCAAAGAACACCATACCTACTGTGAAGCATGGGGGTGTAAACATCATGCTTTGGGGCTGTTTTTCTGCAAAGGGACCAGGACGACTGATCCGTGTAAAGGAAAGAATGAATGGGGCCATGTATGGTGAGATTTTGAGTGAAAACCTCCTTCCATCAGCAAGGGCATTGAAGATGAAACGTGGCTGGGTCTTTCAGCATGACAATGATCCCAAACACACTGCCCAGGCAACAAAGGAGTGGCTTCGTAAGAAGTATTTCAAGGTCCTGGAGTGGCCTAGCCAGTCTCCAGATCTCAACCCCATAGAAAATCTTTGAGGGAGTTGAAAGTCCGTGTTGCCCAGCGACAGCCCCAAAACATCACTGCTCTAGAGGAGATCTGCATGGAGGAATGGACCAAAATAGTGTGTGAAAACCTTGTGAAGACTTACAGAAAACATTTGACCTGTGTCATTGCCAACAAAGGGTATATAACAAAGTATTGAGAAACTTTTGTTATTGACCAAATACTTATTTTCCACCATAATTTGCAAATAAATTCATAAAAAATCCTACAATGTGATTTTCTGGACTTTTTTTTCTTATTTTGTCTATCATAGTTGACGTGTACCTACGATGAAAATTAAAGGCCTCTCTCATCTTTTTAAGTGGGAGAACTTGCACAATTGGTGGCTGACTAAATACTTTTTTTCCCCACTGTATATATGTTGAAGAGGTGGGGCTTAAACTGCATCCCTGTCTCACCCCACGGCCCTGTGGAAAGAAATGTGTGTGTTTTTTGCCAATTTTAACCGCACACTTGTTGTTTGTGTACATGGATTTTATAATGTCGTATGTTTTTCCCCCAATCCCACTTTCCATCAATTTGTATAGCAGACCTTCATGCCAAATTGAGTCAAAAGCTTTTCTGAAATCAACAAAGCATGAGAAGACTTTTGCCTTTGTTTTGTTTTGTTTGTATGTCAATTAGGGTCTGCAGGGTGAATACGTGGTCTGTCGTACGGTAATTTGATAAAAAGCCAATTTGACATTTGCCCAGTACATTGTTTTCACTGAGGAAATGTACAAGTCTGCTGTTAATGAGAATGCAGAGGATTTTCCCAAGGTTGCTGTTGACGCATATCCCACGGTAGTTATTGGGGTCAAATTTGTCTCCATTTTTGTGGATTGGGGTGATCAGTCCTTGGTTCCAAATATTGGGGAAGATGCCAGAGCTAAGGATGATGTTAAAGAGTTTAAGTATAGCCAATTGGAATTTGTGGTCTGTATATTTTATCATTTCATTGAGGATACCATCAACACCACAGGCCGTTTTGGGTTGGAAGGTTTGTATTTTGTCCTGTAGTTCATTCAATGTAATTGGAGAATCCAGTGGGTTCTGGTAGTCTTTAATAGTTGATTCTAAGATTTGCATTTGATCATGTATATTTTTCTGCTGTTTGTTCTTTGTTATAGGGACAAAAAGATTGTAGAAGTGGTTTACCCATACATCTCCATTTTGGATAGATAGCTCTTTGTGTTTTTTTAGTGTTGTTTTTAGTGTTTTCCAATTTTCCCAGAAGTGGTTAGAGTCTATGGATTCTTCAATTACATTGAGCTGATTTCTGACATGCTGTTCTTTCTTTTTCCATAGTGTATTTCTGTATTGTTTTAGTGATTCACCATAGTGAAGGCGTAGGCTCAGGTTTTCTGGGTCTCTATATTTTTGGTTGGATAGGTTTCTCAATTTCTTTCTTAGGTTTTTGCAATCTTCATCAAACCATTTGTCATTGTTGTTACTTTTCTTCGGTTTTCTGTTAGAGATTTTTATATTTGATAGGGAAGCTGAGAGGTCAAATATACTGTTAAGGTTTTCTTCTGCCAAGTTTACACCTTCACTATTACAGTGGAACGTTTTGTCCAGGAAGTTGTCTAAAAGGGATTGAATTTGTTGTTGCCTAATTGTTTTTTGGTAGGTTTCGACACTACTTTCCTTCCATCTATAGCATTTCTTAATATTATTCAGTTCCTTTGGCTTTGATGCCTCATGATTGAGTATTGCTCTGTTCAAGTAGACTGTGATTTTGCTGTGGTCTGATAGGGGTATCAGTGGGCTGACTGTAAATGCTCTGAGAGACTCTGGGTTGAGGTCAGGGATAAAGTAGTCTACAGTACTACTGCCAAGAGATGAGCTATAGGTGTACCTACCATAGGAGTCCCCTCGAAGCCTACCATTGACTATGTACATACCCAGCGTGTGACAGAGCTGCAGGAGATGTGACCCGTTTTTGTTGGTTATGTTGTCATAGTTGGGCATAGGGGGAGGCAATGCTGTCACCTCCAGGTAGGTGTTTGTCCCCCTGTGTGCTGAGGGTGTCAGGTTCTTGTCCAGTTCTGGCATTTAGGTCACCACAGACTAGTACTATGTCCCTGGGTCTGGAAATGATTGATTTCCCCCTCCAGGATGGAGAAACTGTCTTCATTAAAGCATGGGAATACTAGTGGGGGGATATAGCTAGCACACAGGAGGACATTTTTCTCTGCTGAGATAATTTCCTTTTGAATTTCTAGCCAAATGTAATATGTTCCTGTTTTGATTAATTTAATAGAGTGAATTAGGTCTGCTCTATACCAAATTAGCATACCCCCTGAGTCCCTTCACTGTTTCACACCTGGTAGTTTGGTGGATGGGACTACCAGCTCTCTGGAACCAGTGGGTCCGTCTCCTCTATACCATGTTTCTTGTAGGATGACAATGTCCTGCTCTTTAGGCCAAAGGCAGATGACCTCAGGCCTTGGATATTCCAGGATGAGATAGTGAAGGCTTTGTGTTCCATAGTGTCTAATGTTGTTGTTCGTGTGGTTTGGCCTCAGGCCAGTAATTGTGAGCAGAGCCTGCTGAGCATCTGGTACATGCCATTGGCTTGGCTAGTGTAAGAGTGGGGGTTGGGCCTGTTTGCCTGCTCACGGCCTGGGCGTATGTGTGACTTTCATGTTGAGGCCCTCTTTGTGGGAGTGGGGGGCATGGGGTGGGTAGGAGGGGCATAGGTCTGATCTGAGGGGGCCTAAATGGGGTGTGGGCATGGTTGACTTGGGCGGGTGTTAATTGGTTGGGGTGTGGGTGTGGATGTGGCTGGTGGTGCTGTGGTCTGGATGTAGGTCCTATCGGCGGGGGTCCTCTATGTGTAGGTCCAGGGGGGGGGTCCCGCAGGTCTGGGAGAGTCTCTTGCTGGTCTGGGCGGGGTGTCTGTTGATCTGTTGCTCCTGTGTGAGGTGTTGGGTCTGCGGTGAGGGTGATATTCTTTAGGGTATGGGCGAAGGTGGGCACTGCTGCCTTGTATAGGTGGACCTGGTCGTAAAGGCTGTTCAAGTCCAGGATTTGTGGTGGGCCAGGTAGACATTTGGTTTTGAGGCACAGTCACAGGAAATCTGTCTGTCTCTCTTTATCTATCCCTCTTCCTCCTCTCTCAATCTCCCCCTCTCTCTACCTTTCTCCCTCTATCCCCCTTTTTCTGTCCCTCTGCCACTTTCTTCTCATCCCCTACTCTCTCTTTCTTCACGGTCTGTCCCTCTATCTTCCTCTATCTCCTCTTCACACTCTTGTTTCCTCTTTCCCGCTCTGACTGAGTGAGTGGGTGTTGGAGCGGGCTCTCTCCCAGCAACTACTGACTCGTTGCTAATAGAGTGGTGTGTTTGTGTGTGTGTGTGGTATCGGGGTGCAGCTCTTCTGATCGTAATGACATGAGACTGCCTGAGGTTGGGTGGTGGGCTGAGCCACAGTACTCACCTCCACCAAGGGAAGCAACACACAGAGACAGGGACACACTATCTCTCTGTCTCTCTCTCTCCGTCTCTCTCTCTTTCTATCCCCCTCTCCCTTTCTTTCCCTTTCTCTCCCTTTCTCTCCCTTTCTCTCTCTTTATCTCTCTTTATCTCTCTTTATCTATCTTTATATCTCTCTCTCTCCTCTCTCTCTCTCTCTCTCTCTCTCTCTCTCTCTCTCTCTCTCTCTCTCTCTCTCTCTCTCTCTCTCTCTCTCTCTCTCTCTCTCTCTCTCTCTCTCTCTCTCTCTCTCTCTCTCTCTCTCTCCACTACTGTCTCATTCTAATCAGCTTCCTGTGAAAGGACTATTGAATGCATTAGAAATAGACTACTTTGATCCAGGAATCAAAAGATCCCACACAAAAGGAACAAGGGGCTTGAAGATTGACTAACCTTGTTGCACCGAGCAAAAAAAGATAGCAGATCTTGACCAAGCTTTCTTTGAACCTTTTAGATAAATTAATTACACTGCTGCTTCCAGTGAATGTAGTGGAAGTTTCAATGACCAACCACAGTACCACACAATACTACACATATACTACACATTATGGTGGTCAAACTGGTCATCTACCCTGGCACTCACTGTCAGTTCTAACACTAGTCCACTCTGCTCCATTCAGCCTGAGGGGTATTGATGTAGAAAGGGAGCTGTCTTGCCACTCGTGTGCCAGCCTGCAGTCCTTGTCTCTCTGTTCTCGCTCTCTCTCCTTCCCATATTTGTGACCTGTGTTGCACGGCTCACCGGCTTTAATCAGGGTCCCTTTGATCCCACTTGGAGAGGCATATTCCAAGCCACATGACGTACGGACGCCCCCTCTGTAGCACCTGGTTGTAGGCCTATCACTGCCACCTCTACTCAGTGCTCATTCATTGCATTCTGGCAATATTTAGGACATGTACAGTAGGCTAACCATTTAGCCTTACCTTATATCTGTTCAATACAGTATTACAGCTTTCATAGTGATGCAACAGTTCACAAACTTCACTGAACTGTGTAAGCGCGGAATCAATTGGCCCTTAAAGTAATGAGAACTACAGAGGGGTTCAGCTATGTCATAATGTCTTGTTCCTGTCCAGGGTTAGCTGACTCCTATACTAGCTGACCATCTTACTGTTGCCTGACTGTTGTCTGACTGTTATCTTGTCCCGCTACTGGGTTCAGCTGACTCCTACACTAGCTGACCATCTGACTGTTGCCTGACTGTTGTCTGACTGTTATCTTGTCCCGCTACTGGGTTCAGCTGACTCCTACACTAGCTGACCATCTGACTGTTGGCTTATTGTCTGACTGTTGTCTAACTGTTATCTTGTCCCACTACAGGGTTCAGCTGACTCCTACACTAGCCGACCATCGGACTCAGATGTCTCCCTGGAGGAGGAGCCAACAGGCGGCAAGCTGGAGAAGGAGCAGCAGGCTGCTGTACAGCTGGAGAGGGCCAAGGTGAGACAGATTTCTGCTAGGTGTCCTATTGTGGAGCCTTATGCTATGCTACTGTACTATCACAGACATATACCTTCAGAACAAGGCCCCTATCATTGGGAATGTCCCAGCAGGCAAGGCTGGTTGAAATTACGTTATGTAGTCCCCTGTAGCTCAGTTGGTAGAGCATGGCGCTTGCAACGCCAGGGTTGTGGGTTCGTTTCCCACAGGGGGCCTGTATGAAAATGTATGCACTCGCTAACTGTAAGTCGCTCTGGATAAGAGCGTCTGCTAAATGATTACAATGTAATGTACAATGTAATTACAACCACATTAAAACCAGAACTGGCATCTTTGCTACCAGCAATGCCCACTGGGTTATGGTTAAGCTTATCTAGCTAGTTAGGCACTGTTCTTATACATGGTGTTTCCTGTATCGTCTCAGGCCAAAGCGGTGGCCTTTGCTGTGAAGACTAACGTCAGTTACTGTGGAGCCCTGGATGAGGATGTCCCTGTGGCAGGAACCGCCATCTCCTTCGATGCCAAGGACTTCCTGCACATTAAAGAGGTACAGCATATATAACACACTGTACTGCTAAAGCTATGGCTCCGTCTCAAATGGCATCCTATTCCCTATGTAGTGCATATATAGGGAATAGTGTGCCAGCTCTGGCCAAAAGTAGTGCACTATTTAGGGAATAGGGTGCCATTTCAGACAGCCTATGTTTGCTTCAAGCCACATCTGTTCACGGGCCATTATGGATGAAGCAATATCAATAATGCATGTCCCGCTTTGGAATCAATGGAGTCACATAGAGTGTGTATACAGCCTGGTATGTCTGTGGAGTTTACATACTCTCTTCCGTTCTATTCTAAGACATTGGTTTTGTGTTGCCTTGCCCATAGTCACATACTGTATAGTGTGTATGTCTGTGGAGTTTACATACTCTCTTCTGTTCTGAGTGATTGTGTTGTTTTGTGTTGTCTTGCCCACTACAGAAGTACAGCAATGAGTGTATATGTCTGTGAATGTAACACTTCAACACACACACACACACACACTGCACACACACTTCAGTCATTGAGTTGTTTTATGTTGTCTTCCCCATTACAGAAGTACAGTAATGACTGGTGGATCGGCCGGCTGGTGAAGGAGGGCTGTGAGATCGGATTCATCCCCAGCCCTCTGAAACTGGATAACATTCGTCTACAGCAGGAGCAGAAGAGGGGCACACGCTCTTACGGGTAAAGCCTGGGTAGAGGGGCTGGGGGTGGTGTATTGAGGTGCTAAGTTGGGCTTGGTTGGGTGGAGGGGCTGTGTTAGAGGGTGGGTTGGGGATTGGAGAGGGGCCAACAATTGATAAGAACTTTCATGAATAAGCAGTAATCAACTATTTATAAACAACTTTATTAAGCATTTATAAAAGTTATTATAAAAAGTTACTGAAGTACGATGACAAGCCACCTACTCTCCACTCCAGGCCTGACTCTGCTGTGACTATGTGGTTTACTCATAACAGATCAGAGATGACTCATAATAACAGATCAGACATTACTCATAAGAAGAGATCAGAGATTACTCATAATAACAGATCAGAGATTACTCATAATAACAGATCAGACATTACTCATAAGAAGAGATCAGAGATTACTCATAATAACAGATCAGAGATTACTCATAATAACAGATCAGACATTACTCATAAGAAGAGATCAGAGATTACTCATAATAACAGATCAGAGGTTACTCATAATAACAGATCAGACATTACTCATAAGAAGAGATCAGAGGTTACTCATAATAACAGATTGGTGACGTGTTTCTTAGGTGACATTAATATGATAAGAGATTATATGCGTCATCATATATAATTTTCCTCAGCTATGCTTTAACTATTTGTTGTCTATTTTAAAGGACATTTTGTCTTCCCCGTTGGCCTCATGTTGCAGAGGGTTACATTATGTAACAGTTGTGGTAAAACAGTGGGTATGTCGTCTCACATAGTGCCGTGATAGATATCATCTCCAAGACGATCACGGCTCATTCCAGCCCTGTGTTATCATAATCATTTCTGGAACAACGTATAGTCAATACTTATATAGTCTTCCATGTACTTATAGTATTCATCCAATTACATTCTACTGTTGGATAATTATATTCTACTGTTAAATATTCAACATGGACACAAACTTTATTTTAGAAGTGCATTTAACACTGCAACACACTTTACAGTAAAATAATACAATTAAAGAGATAAAAACAAGCAAACGGCAATAACTGAGAATAATAAAGTAACATTAAAACACCAAGGATGTCTAAAGTAATAATAAAATTACTGATTAAAGTAAGAGAATTGTTAGTGACCCTGTTTCTCCTGGGGATGGGAGTTCTGTTTGACTCTGTGATTAATGTGTTCCACATTAATGATTCTTCTCTCTCTCTCTGTCTGTTATCCTTTGTGCCTTGCAGTAAGTCCAGTGGGAATTCCTCCTCCAGTCTAGGAGACATGGTTTCAGGCGGGTTCAAACCTAACCCTCCCTCTGCAGGTGAGCCTCCAGACAGAAGCCTATTAGGGAAGGGCGTCTCACCAGGTGGAGCGTCTCGTTAGTTGTTTGTCAGAATGAATCATTAACCAACCAGAGCTATGATCTAATTGTCCCTGTCTCTAACATAACATATCATTGTTGCTCAGTGTGTTGTTTATTAACATATCAAATCCAGTGTGAGAACTGTCAGTTACTTCACATTTGTGAACTATGAACTGAATGGTTATCAGAGTATACGTACCCAATGTCATTGTTCTACACTAGCGAAAATTTTTTTGTTACATTTTCGTCTAATATCTTTAAAATGCTGCACCTGCTCAATCCAAACTTGTCGAGTAAGTTAATATGTCAAATGGAAAACAGTGGCTGGAGGTTGGGTGGATGGAATGTGGAGTTGTGAGATCTTTGTGTCTTCCAGAATGTGCCATGTATTGGACTGGAATGAGGTCGGCCATGCACTCTCAGTCCGCTCCTCCTCCTCTTCCTCCAAGAGTATTATGGACAAGCGTTATGTCCTTGCAATGAGTTTGCTTTAAGTCAAGCATAACCATATAGTCCAAACTCTGCGTTATCCAATTATAAGGATTTTCTCCATCTTATAGCGAGGGCCACTAAACATAAATTGAAATAATACTCTCTCTTTATTTCAATTTATTTATAAGACACCAAACACTTTTATATGATAATGCAACTTCAGAGTTAGTTATCAAGTGCAACCAATGTCTGTCACCTGCAAAGGAAGGTTTGGAAAAGAAGCAACAAATAAATCAAGTGTTTTGACCACTAATATACTGTATACATACTGTATATTTGATACTTCATTTATTTGTGTGATAATAAGTTATTTGCATCCACCATTGTACTATTCAAATATTTCCATCAACTGTTTCAACCCACCCACTGGGTATTAAAGTACTGTAATACTGAAAAGGTATCACTGTAATGTTTTGTACTACAGGTACAAAAGGTCTCTGCTTTGCATTCAAAGGCACTTATCAGTTATTTTCTCTTTTTGACAGGAAAACAGAAGCAGAAGGTGGTGAGTAGTAAACAGACTTTTCATTCATTAATCCACATACAACCCTAACAGGTACCCTCCAAGATCTGTAACTTCACAGAAACTGGTTGCACCCAGAATCATAAGTTCGGTTGGCATGTCATCCTCCATATCAAAGTTTATATTTCTATTTTAGGCATACAGAATGATACTAACTTATAGGTTTGATTTGCTCTTTATTCACCCCCATGAATCTCTTATGAAAACTATACTATATTTTTTTGATCAGCTTTAATATTGCAAATAGATTGTGGCTTCCATCAATGTAATTGGCTGCATCATTTCCAATCCCCCATATATTTTTTGTAAATATATATATAAAATATATATATATATTTTTTAAATATATATTTTCCTTTATTATTTTCCCCTAACCCTACCACCTCTCCCCTAATTGGAGTAAACTAATCGACAACAACAGATACTATAAAGTATCTTTGCAGACCTGATTGAGCTCACTTTAATACCATTTAGACCTGTCTACTTTTATTTAATTCCAGCCCTGGCAAGGTCCAGGGATTAATGATGCTATTAAATTCATTGACCAAAAAACTATAGAGGTTGCATTAAATCATGGATGGGCAACTGGTGGCCCCACTTTTGTAGGCCGCAGATCACTCAGTCGTGGTCTCAACTTACTGTTGAGAGTTAGAATAGTTGAATACACAAGGTGCAATTTCAAAATGTGGTTGTGCATCAGCAGTTTTTCTCTTGTTATGTCAGACACTCAATTAGTCCATGTTTGATTGGAAGTTAGTCTAGCCAGCTATCTAGACTTGTAGTAGTCATGGTTGAATTACCGACTGGGGAGCCCCCATTGATATGTTAGTCACTCTCACTCAGATATAATTTTAAAAACTGCAAACAGTTCTCTACACTCTATGGCAAAATGTGTAGAATTGCAGGAAATGAGCTGTAAGACTGACCCCCACCCCCATCAAAGTTGCCCATCCCTGCATTAAATTAATTGGATAGCTCGTCTTTAATCTGCTGGCAGTATTCTTTGTAATAACACTTTGTCAGGACATTATCAGGAAGTAAAACAGAACTGTCTAAATGTCGTAATAGCATCACTTAACAGCGGATAGCTGTAATACATCCAGCTACTGTTATACTCATTCTCATTCAACATCCATTGGTAACACGTTGCATAAAGTTGTTATTGCACATAAGTAGTAACACTGTAAATACACAGACAAACTTTCTTGGCATGTAATAAAACCTAATAAAACTACTTAATAATGGTGAATGGCATGTTACATGTTGCTGAGGTGTCTGTCCTCCCTCTAACCCTCTACCTCCACTACAGACTGAACACATCCCTCCCTATGACGTGGTCCCCTCTATGAGACCAGTGGTCCTGGTAGGACCGTCCCTGAAGGGATATGAGGTAGGCCTCATAGCAATAATACTTTCGGTCTCTTGGTGTTGTATTGGTCAAGTGTTTTATTAAGCCTCCAAAATAGCTATTCAGAACGACTGCAATATTTGGTTGTGTGCCATACATTACACCACAGTGACACCAATTCCCAGCTCTCCCTTTTGTAATCAATATTGAGGACTGTCAGCGTGTAGACTAGAGGTTAAGATGCAGCTTCATTGAAGAGGTTTACCAACACATTCGCTGACAGTGAATAACTCCCCCGTTCATTATCAGAGTAGATATTTGGAGGTTTCCAAAAAGAACAGCTACAGTGAGGGAAAAAAGTATTTGATCCCCTGCTGATTTTGTACGTTTGCCCACTGACAAAGAAATGATCAGTCTATCATTTTAATGGTAGGTTTATTTGAACAGTGAGAGACAGAATAACAACAAAAAAATCCAGAAAAACACATGTCAAACATTTTATAAATTGATTTGCATTTTAATGAGGGAAATAAGTATTTGACCCCCTCTCAATCAGAAAGATTTCTGGCTCCCAGGTGTCTTTTATACAGGTAACGAGCTGAGATTAGGAGCACACTCTTAAAGGGAGTGCTCCTAATCTCAGCTTGTTACCTGTATAAAAGACACCTGTCCACAGAAGCAATCAATCAATCAGATTCCAAACTCTCCACCATGGCCAAGACCAAAGAGCTCTCCAAGGATGTCAGGGACAATATTGTAGACCTACACAAGGCTGGAATGGGCTACAAGACCATCGCCAAGCAGCTTGGTGAGAAGGTGACAGCAGTTGGTGCGATTATTCGCAAATGGAAGAAACACAAAATAACTGTCAATCTCCCTCGGCCTTGGCTCCATACAAGATCTCACCTCGTGGAGTTGCAATGATCATGAGAACGGTGAGGAATCAGCCCAGAACTACACGGGAGGATCTTGTCAATGATCTCAAGGCAGCTGGGACCATAGTCACCAAGAAAACAATTGGTAACACACTACGCCGTGAAGGACTGAAATCCTGCAGCGCCCGCAAGGTCCCCCTGCTCAAGAAAGCACATATACATGCCCGTCTGAAGTTTGCCAATGAATATCTGAATGATTCAGAGGAGAACTGGGTGAAAGTGTTGTGGTCAGATGAGACCAAAATGGAGCTCTTTGGCATCAACTCAACTCGCCGTGTTTGGAGGAGGAGGAATGCTGCCTATGACCCCAAGAACACCATCCCCACCGTCAAACATGGAGGTGGAAACATTATGCTTTGGGGGTGTTTTTCTGCTAAGGGGACAGGACAACTTCACTGCATCAAAAGGACGATGGACGGGGCCATGTACCGCCAAATCTTGGGTGAGAACCTCCTTCCCTCAGCCGGGGCATTGAAAATGGGTCATGGATGGGTATTCCAGCATGACAATGACCCAAAACACACGGCCAAGGCAACAAAGGAGTGGCTCAAGAAGAAGCACATTAAGGTCCTGGAGTGGCCTAGCCAGTCTCCAGACCTTAATCCCATAGAAAATCTGTGGAGGGAGCTGAAGGTTCGAGTTGCCAAACTTCAGCCTCGAAACCTTAATGACTTGGAGAAGATCTGCAAAGAGGAGTGGGACAAAATCCCTCCTGAGATGTGTGCAAACCTGGTGGCCAACTACAAGAAACGTCTGACCTCTGTGATTGCCAACAAGGGTTTTGCCACCAAGTACTAAGTCATGTTTTGCAGAGGGGTCAAAAACGTATTTCCCTCATTAAAATGCAAATACATTTATAACATTTTTGACATGCGTTTTTCTGGATTTCTTTGTTGTTATTCTGTCTCTCACTGTAAAAATAAACCTACCATTAAAATTATAGACTGATCATTTATTTGTCAGTGGGCAAACGTACAAAATCAGCAGGGGATCAAATACTTTTTTCCCTCACTGAATGTCTGACCTATCCATTCATTCCTAACTAACCACCAATGGGGCTTGCAGAAAAAAGAGGGCAGCATCTTTTCCCCGGCATGTATGGGGGGAAGTGGAGAGCCAGGATCATCTTCACACAGAATCACAGTCCTCATCTCCGCTCTACTGTGTTGCCATGGTAACAACCTTCTGGGTAAAACACGTCAGTCTGAAAAATTGGAGCATGGCTTGAAATTAGAAACACAGAGATAAACAGCACCAGAAGATCTGTGTGTGTACAAAAAAAATGTGTTGGTTATGATGATAATACAGCAAAAAAAATATTTTGCAGGGACAAGGTTATGCAAATGTGGATGGAATGGGGGCACAATTTGGTCTTCTTAATGTGATTTTTTTGCTCAACTTACAGAGACGTGTGTATTGGTCCAAAATATCAAATTACACTACTGTCTTGTGTGAACAGAATGATGATGTTGTCAAGAGAGCTTACACAACACCCGTTTTTCTTCTAAAAATGTCCCTAGTGAAATATAAAAAATGTCAATGTTGCTGTTAACTATAAAGAATATGGTTATTTCTGTGTGCAAAGGACACAAAAAGTTTTTGGATATACCATATAACAATTGCTCCACACTGCTCCTTGCTAGCCTTGTCCTTGAAACTACAGTTCTTCCCAGCTTCAGTGTAATTCAAATACCTTGCAAAAATAGCATTAATGGAGACTGGTCTGGCCTGCTATAGCCCAATTCATCACATCGGCATTGGTCTTTATGACACTTCATTGTAGGCCTTAATCACCTTATTTAATGTAACCAGGATTAATTCTTTAGAAAATGAAGTGGAAAGAAACCAGAGATCCTGCTGCTCCTTTGATGGATGTCTTGGCCCAGTGGGATAAATCTAAGGCAGGGCCAGAGGAGCCTGAATGGACCTTCTGGGTGGATGTCATAATGAGGAATATGGAGAAATCTTTATTGGATGGATAATGGTGGTGGATGGGGAAGATGGGACGATCTTGATTTAGCACTAATACTGAAATCGAAAAGGATTACAACTGTAATTTTGACTTCTTTGGGCACCTTTGACCATAACATGTGCTATTTATAAACATTGCCCATCAGGGTATGTAGCTTCAGCATATGAAAAGGGTCTTGCAAGGGTTCTTCCAGGCTTGCTATAGCTATGAGGAATTGTCAATGATTTTCTACTGGCTTATTTCCTTGCTGTCTGTCTGTCTTAACCCTCTCTCACTTGTCCTGTTACTCACTCTCTCTCTTTCCCTCCTTTTTCCTCCCTCTTTTCTTCCCTTTTTTCTGTCTGCCATTCTCTGCTGCTTCCGGGCTCTGTGTGCAGGTGACAGACATGATGCAGAAAGCACTCTTTGATTTCCTGAAGCACAGGTTTGATGGCAGGTGAGGAGTCATCAGCCCTTTTCCTGCATATTGTCGCCAGCCCTTTCCCTTTCCCTGCATACTGTACTAACTCTCTGCAGGCTTACTGTAGCATCATGCTCTCAGCTGCTCCACTTACCCTCATGCAAACTACTATAGCTAGAGCAAAAAATATGTAAAGCAGTTGTAAATGAATTTAATGAGTTGTCAAAGTACCTTATTTGACCACCTGTTTTGACTAGGTCTTTCCTTACATTTTCTAAACATTCTGGTAACCATACATTACTAGTCTGGATTGTGAATAACATGTTGTGCTGTATGTTCTCATATTCTGTCTCTCTTGATTCTATAACTTGTAGGATATCTATTACAAGGGTAACGGCAGACATCGCTCTGGCCAAGAGGTCGGTGCTCAACAACCCCAGCAAGAGGGCCATCATCGAAAGATCCAACACCAGGTCCAACCTAGGTATCATCACAATGGCATTGAATGCTATCATTCTTTACTTTACTGTGTATATATTGTATATGTTAAAAAGGAAGTTACATACATGTATGCATATAATATATTTTTCAAATCTGATAAAGGATCTGTTTTACAAAGAATTTGTGGAATTGATGTCTTCTGATCTTGGCGATATAAATAGATTCATCCTGTCTGTGATCTATCTCCTTGTTCCTGTACAGCGGAGGTTCAGAGTGAGATTGAGAGGATATTTGAGCTGGCCAGATCCTTACAGTTGGTGGTTCTGGATGCTGACACAATCAACCATCCGGCCCAGCTCATAAAGACGTCTTTAGCACCTATCATCGTCCATGTTAAAGTGTCCTCTCCTAAGGTAATTGTTTGGCTTCCCTTTATACCCAAATGGTTCTAATTTTACTACTGTACCTGGGTTGGAAATGGGAGGGAATCCAGAGGAACCAGGCTCCGGGAGTGAAATGCTTTTGACATCTACAAATACTTTTTTTAAGGTGAATTCGAGGATTTGACATTGGTGGGTTCCCACTGTGACCTTTTTCCATTTCCAACCCTGACCCATGCTGATTTGTGTTGCTGCCCTCTTCTGGCTTGATTTATATATAAACTATCCACAGGTTCTGCAGCGGCTGATCAAGTCGAGAGGGAAATCCCAGAGCAAACACTTGAATGTGCAGCTGGTGGCAGCAGACAAACTAGCACAGTGCCCCCCGGTAGGCATCCAATATTCCCCACAGTACACTCTGTCAACTGCTACATCTTGCTACTGTCTCTGGCCTTCACAAGGACTATTAGCAAATCAGTCAATCAAGTCTAATTATGCATGTCTCTCTGCCCTCACCCTCTCTCTCTCTCTGTCTGTCTCTCTCTTTCCCCTCCCCTCTCTCTCAGGAAATGTTTGACATCATTCTGGATGAGAATCAGCTGGAGGATGCATGTGAACACCTGGCAGAGTACCTGGAGGCCTACTGGAGGGCCACTCACACCTCCCTGACCACCCCTCTCAACCCTCTGCTGGGCCGCAACCTGGGATCCACCGCTCTCTCTCCGTACCCCACAGCCATAACTGGGCTGGTGAACCAACAGGTGATTCTAATTAAGCAATAAGGCCCGAGGGGGTGTGGTATATGGCTAATATACAGTGGGGGAAAAAAGTATTTAGTCAGCCACCAATTGTGCAAGTTCTCCCACTTAAAAAGATGAGAGAGGCCTGTAATTTTCATCATAGGTACACGTCAACTATGACAGACAAAATGAGAAAAGAAATTCCAGAAAATCACATTGTAGGATTTTTAATGAATTTATTTGCAAATTATGGTGGAAAATAAGTATTTGGTCAATAACAAAAGTTTCTCAATACTTTGTTATATACCCTTTGTTGGCAATGACACAGGTCAAACGTTTTCTGTAAGTCTTCACAAGGTTTTCACACACTGTTGCTGGTATTTTGGCCCATTCCTCCATGCATATCTCCTCTAGAGCAGTGATGTTTTGGGGCTGTCGCTGGGCAACACGGACTTTCAACTCCCTCCAAAGATTTTCTATGGGGTTGAGATCTGGAGACTGGCTAGGCCACTCCAGGACCTTGAAATGCTTCTTACGAAGCCACTCCTTCGTTGCCCGGGCGGTGTGTTTGGGATCATTGTCATGCTGAAAGACCCAGCCACGTTTCATCTTCAATGCCCTTGCTGATGGAAGGAGGTTTTCACTCAAAATCTCACGATACATGGCCCCATTCATTCTTTCCTTTACACGGATCAGTCGTCCTGGTCCCTTTGCAGAAAAACAGCCCCAAAGCATGATGTTTCCACCCACAGTAGGTATGGTGTTCTTTGGATGCAACTCCGCATTCTTTGTCCTCCAAACACGACGAGTTGAGTTTTTACCAAAAAGTTATATTTTGGTTTCATCTGACCATATGACATTCTCCCAATCCTCTTCTGGATCATCCAAATGCACTCTAGCAAACTTCAGACCTGGCCTGGACATGTACTGGCTTAAGCAGGGGACACGTCTTGCACTGCAGGATTTGAGTCCCTGGCGGCGTAGTGTGTTACTGATGGTAGGCTTTGTTACTTTGGTCCCAGCTCTCTGCAGGTCATTCACTAGGTCCCCCCGTGTGGTTCTGGGATTTTTGCTCACCGTTCTTGTGATCATTTTGACCCCACGGGGTGAGATCTTGCGTGGAGCCCCAGATCGAGGGAGATTATCAGTGGTCTTGTATGTCTTCCATTTCCTAATAATTGCTCCCACAGTTGATTTCTTCAAACCAAGCTGCTTACCTATTGCAGATTCAGTCTTCCCAGCCTGGTGCAGGTCTACAATTTTGTTTCTGGTGTCCTTTGACAGCTCTTTGGTCTTGGCCATAGTGGAGTTTGGAGTGTGACTGTTTGAGGTTGTGGACAGGTGTCTTTTATACTGATAACAAGTTCAAACAGGTGCCATTAATACAGGTAACGAGTGGAGGACAGAGGAGCCTCTTAAAGAAGAAGTTACAGGTCTGTGAGAGCCAGAAATCTTGCTTGTTTGTAGGTGACCAAATACTTATTTTCCACCATAATTTGCAAATAAATTAATTAAAAATCGTACAATGTGATTTTCTGGATATTTTTTTCTCAATTTGTCTGTCATAGTTGACGTGTACCTATGATGAAAATTACAGGCCTCTCTCATCTTTTTAAGTGGGAGAACTTGCACAATTGGTGGCTGACTAAATACTTTTTTTCCCCACTGTACCACGACTAAGAACTGTTCTTAAGCACGACGCAACGCGTCGTGCCTGGATATAGCCCTTAGCCGTGGTATATTGGCCATATACCACAAACCCCAGAGGTGCCTTATTGCTATTATAAACTAGTTACCAACGTAATTAGAGCAGTAAAAATACATGTTTTGTCATACCCGTGGTATACAGTATGTTCTGATATACCACAGCTGTCAGCCAATCAGCATTCAGGGCTTGAACCACCCAGTTTATAATTGACCTTATTTAGTCAGATAGGGGGTTAAAGTACAATAGATATGGTGGCAATAGCTATAATGACTGTTTATTTTGCTGAATTATCGTTGGGCAAATTGGTTGCAAATAATTAATTGGAAAAGGTATCAGTCAGTAGTGAAATAATACAGGATAGTTGCCTATTTATGGAGTCTTACAATCATTGAGGTTTTTCTCACTATATTAATAAAGTATTGTCACAGTAATGAAAATGCTGATGCTATAGTCAACGGCTGAATGACCAGATTCATACAATATGTCCCCTCCTTCTCCCTGGATAGGGCCAAAGAAATACAAACAGGAACAGCAATCACACGGCAGGAGACCACTCGCCCATCGAGCGACACAGCCTGATGCTCTCAGACGAGAACTACCACAATGAGCGGCAGAGGAAGAGCCGTAACCGTCTATCCTCCGGCTCACAGCACAGCCGGGACCAGGTCCACTACCCCCTGGTGGAGGAGGACTATCATGACCCCTACCAGGACACGTACAAGCCCCACCGCAACCGAAACGGCTCCCCCGGAGGCTACAGCCATGACTCCAGGCACAGGCTTTGAGATGAAGACCCTTATATCACATAGGCCTCTCTTCCCTTCACATTGAGTATGACAGAGCCACAAGACAGCTTTCTAGTTTAATTGTACTGTAACAACCTTTTTATAAAGCGTTAGTTAGTAACTCGCTTTACCTCTGGCACTGGTTCACGCTGGAAACGTGAACATTGACCAACTGAAAATCAAATCTCGATGCCTCTAAAAATAGGATGAGGAGCAGATTTTCACCATGTTTTTTTTTTTAAGGGAAGGCCCAACTCTGGGCTCATCTTCTTCTTTTCAACATGGCAGAGACTTGACATGGCTGGATGAAAGGGGTGACCATGTGGTCCTCGACTCCCTGCTGTCTCAGTGTTAGCATGGGTAGCTGTCGTGGTAGTCATGGTGACCCATTATCACCTGCCTTGAACCAGTGCCAGACAGCGCCAAGCGTCCCTCGATCAGCAGAGAACCTCTTTGCACGTTTCCAGGAGCCAATAGCAGCAGAGTCAGTGCACTGTATCTTTAATTAATGTCACTAAGTTGTTTGAAATTGTCTTGGATGTTAGTGTTTCCAGTCCTGTAGCCTATAACCTGCTTCTCAGAGCAGGCAAAGTTTCTGTTTTGCAAAATGTTGAGTGATTATTTAGGAGGGTTCTGAATCGGACTGAATTTCCTGGACTTCTATCCCCTTCTTCTTCTCAATGATACTTAGTGCCATTTGTGACATGCCGCATCAGGACAGAAAATCACACTTTTCTAAGTAGAATTTGCTGAGCTGCAAGTTTCATATTGTGTACTCTTTCAGGAAAGGGTACATCCCTTCTTTATATACAGTACCTTAACACTCTAGTGTGAGGACTTTGCCTATCAGTTTAGAATGCTGCATCCAAGAGGAAATAGCCTAATTCAAGTTAGTAGATCTCAAGACTAGGCATCCAATGTAGAGAGGGGCAATATGCCCCTGTGTTCTTAGTTTCAATTGTTCAAATGGGTTTCAGAGGATAGGCTCAGTGAAGATGGCTATACTTCCAATCAGGGGAATATTGATCATTTGATTGGTTTACCACATCCCATTTTCTGTACAAGCAGCCTCTGATAGTGATTTCATTTGCATCATATTTTATTCTCTTCAAAGAAATACCTGCTGTCCATTCAGCAAAGCTTCATTGGTTTAGAATTATCAATGCCATCATGTATTTTTGTCAATATACAGTATGTCATGGAATAATGATCCAGTGCTGTTATGTATGTGTTGCTGCGATTGAAAAACCAGTAGGACACTGTAGTTGAGTAAGTGACTGTTGATTATGGCACTCACATTTCAACAATGAAATTAGTCAACACATTAGAGGAAGAGAAGGCTTCAGTCTGCTGTGAAGTTATATTGTCAGAAAGGTTTGTGATTCTGACATCAAACACTTGGTCAATATTATTTGCTTTCCAACCATCGGCTATTCTATGTTAATGCCCCATTTTAAAGTCTTCCATATACTGGCCGTTAAAAGAAAATTGTTGTCTTTTAAAGAACAATTTTACTTTCCCAAGAATTTGCGTATCATAACACAAATTACTTGTTCACAGCCTTATTGCTTAACCCAGGCCTTGCGTTAAACTTCGTTCTCTTTTCATACTTCCTTTCTTTTTTAACACTGTAGCAATGGAGTGGTTTCTCTCCTAATCATATACATATCCTCAAAATGTAGCATTTTAGTTAAGAGTTTTCAAGGTCTATATGGTTAGCTAATTATAGAAGATAAGTCGTGTAGAGACTGTGAAGGGACAGACTGGGGAGGTGGTGGATAGAAGTTTATGTCAGATAATGTCTCTCTATATACTATGAGTTGTGTGTTGTGCACCAATACCGGTGTGCATCATTATTATATTTTCTTCTTCTTCTTCGAATGCCTTCTTCTATTGCCAAGAAAGCTTGATTTCTGTTTATGCTGTATTCTATATAGGCATGCTGGTAAAGAGAAAAACAAAGAAGACAAACTAATCTAGTGAAAAAATATAATTTACTATGCAAATGTCTACAGTGCTGCATGCTGATGTTTTTCCTTCCTCGGCTACTTAGCGGCTTCATTGCAGTTCAATGATTGTGTTATTGTTATTTTTGTGAAAGATGACATTCAAAAGGGAAATGCATAACTGCATGACTAATACATTTTAATTCATCAAGAAGAAAGAGAAATGTTTTATGGAAAATTGATGTATAATGAGAACCAACTCTAGCTGCATTAAAAATGTACTTATTTTATAAAATAAATTCGGAGCTCTGTTACAATGATGGTCCCGATTACTACTTTCTTTATTGCCTCCCTTCTTAGGACAGATATGTTATCTGAAGATGTAGGGTTTGAGTTGGCCCTTCTTATCAAAAAAGAATGTCCTCTTCACTAAAACAGAACACAAAGCAGTGTACAACCAGTGGATACTCACCGGATGACAGTGAATCATTATTTATTCATTGTGATCTCTTTGCTGTCATTCCTTTGTTGTGCAATTTATGTTTGTTTGTCCCACAGGTTCCCTGCATGGACTGAACTGAAGACACTGTGGCATTTTGTGAATGGAAGCAATTGCCTCACTTCAAATTATGGCCTAAAGTGCCTATTGATGCAGTACTACTGTGGGTAATAATTTTCTCTGATTCTCTCTGGAATCCATCCTCACTGGACGGATTGTGGAGAGATTGCAGCTTGGAGTAGGCGTGCGTCGGTGATGACGACCGCACTCCAGCGGACCAAGCAAGCCAGCTATCGTTGTATTCTCTAGAAATACAATATATACCGCGTCCTCTAATTATATTTCAACCATAAAGGAAAGGCCTTCGTGCACAGATGAAAATGTTATCAAGAAGCGTTGACATTACAGGTTTATTTTTCACCGTCAAATATTGCAAGGTGCAAGTGTGACACTGACAGCAGCATTGCCTGGCTAGCGCGTTAGTAACATCTTCAGGAATTCGCTAGCTAGCAGCTAAATTAATTGGCCGTAGCTAGTTGCGTCGAAAGGCTCTGCAACAGCCATGGGAATACTTTTCACCAAGCTATGGAGGCTTTTCAATCATCAAGGTAAGTCGGTCCATCTATCGTTAACGTCGAGTGTGTAGTTCAATGGATAGTTAGCTAGCTAGTCCAGCTGTTAGCCAACACTACACAGCCAAGCCTGTTCCACTGGTTACAAAGTTGATAACGTTAGCTAGCTACGTTAGGTTACTTGCTAATGCATCATAGCTTTAGTTTTTACCGGGCCTATATCAGTCTAACGTTATTGCCTGTAAAGCTGCCTTTTCTTTACCCAGTTACTGTAGCTAGCCGTTTTGCTGTAATGTACAGTAATACATACATTAGCTAGGTAGTTGAACGATAGATCATCATGTGTTTTGTATATCATCATTGCTAGCTAGCTATATAGCTATCGTCAACACTGCAATGTTCAGAGGGCCTATGTTGTACTAATTAGCTAACGTTATGTCTTTAGCTATTCTGCTTTTCAAGGCCTAACATTGCTAGCTGACGTTACATTGTCATTGTTTGAAGTAGACCGACTCCGTTTTGGCTTAGTAGGCAGAGAAACAGGCACTACAGTACAATGTATAGTAGAATGTTGCATTTTCCTGAGTTCTTTCCCTGGGAAGTGTACTAGTAACGTTAGGTCCCATAAAATGCAGTAGGCTTGTGGTGGGTGTTCATGTGATCTAGGTGTTGTGCCCATATTTAACTAATTTAATGAGAGGTATATTATCAGTTAGGTTAGTTTAGGATCACCGGAGAGTAAAATGGAACTTGAAGTATCACATTTGAGCATGAGCCCAGCTACATTCGTCCCTTTTCCCCTCACAGATTGTAGGCTAAAGATGTGCTGATGTCCTCTTTTGTGCACTGTGCATGTGTCTGAATTAGCTGAAAATGTAATCAATTCCTCCCCGCTGAATCCTGAGTTAACTCAATCTGTAAACAGATCTGTGCGAACCCCTGTAACATGAGGCCTGAGGGCAGCAGAGTATTTCTATGGAAAGTTCTGTCTACTCTGGACCGTTCGGTTTTATGTTGAAGGCCTATTCTCAGGGGGTCACTGACTGCGGTAAACAATCACGGATATGGGAACTAAAGTGGTTCACTCGCATGCAGTCAGTAGCAAATTAAGACCCTCGATTTTATTGGGAAGTAGCATCAAGCTCATCACCGTGCACTTTCACCGCCCTGGACCACACATATAACTGCCTTAATTTTGCTGGACCTCAGGAAGAGTAGCTGCTGCCTTGCACCTAATGGGGATACATAATAAATACAGCATAGCATCGCGTGACTGCAAATTTATTATTATTTTTGCACTAGTTGGCTCTACCTGCACCAAAACGCCAATTTGTTTTTAGCACTTTTATTTCTATGACTGATCAAAACTCGTTTTCTCACGGCTCTCTCTTGTCCCTCTGCAGCAGACATATTGTGAGCAATATGCTTCGAACATCGAATCGCAATAAAATCACAGTATTAAATAGCAATACATATATAATCGCAATAAATATCCTATAGGCACCTATGTATCGTGATAATATCGTATTGTCAGGTACCTGGCAATTCCCAGCCCTAATAAAAACTGTGGATGGAAACGTGGCTACTGCCACATCAGAATGTGTTTACCCAAGGATGAAAATGAAGGAATGACTCATTCTGAATGACGGCGACTCTTGTCTGTTGTCCTAGCCTGGTCCCAGATATGCTTGTGCTTTCTCTAACTCCATTGCTGTCATTGTCAAGCCAAACATTTATGGCATGGCAATTCCATAAGGAGTTTACAATAGAGATACTGTTGTCCCAGCCTGGACGGCTTGCCTCTAACAAAATACAACACCATCTTTTTTTTACCTGTTACTACCAGAGACAGGCATACCTCCAACCCAAACCATGTCCTATCATGCATTGCTTTTTATGCTTTTCAAGGCTGCCGAAAAGGGAAATGATCAGTGTTGTCAACTTTTTACCCAGTTTCTTCAGTCAGGCGAACTATTGTTACAGGCTTACAGCACCCCTCCTATCTGCTCTACATGAGATTATTTTTTGCGTATATAGCCTGAAATTGTACACTGTCTGGTGTCTTTTAAAATATACATGACCCATTTCTGAGCGGCTCCATATTGGTTCAGTTAGAGCGATACTGTAGCTGAATTGTCTTATAAAAACGTAGGCTAGTTTCATTGGACTCTCCTCTCACAATGTCATTATTTTCTAATATAATGACCTTGTCCTCTCACATATAGGTTTATTGTAATTGGCTATGTCCTGTGTCTGAGGAAGGCTTTAATTGGTAGTCGTCTACCAGCAACAGTGTTCCACATGTCATAAAGCCCATGGGGCGAGAGGCGTTCCGTTTGTGCTGCGGTTTCAGTAGTAGGTCAAACAGGAATTCCAAAGACTCTTCTCACTGTGGGGGTTTAAATGGAACAAAGGCAGCTCATTCACAAGGTGAAGGACAAATACAATAGACTAGCACAGAACCAGTTACAATGGTTATTTACAGTAAATAGGGACGGTAGTAGAGTGTGGATGGAACTGTATGCATACATTTTAACTGCTCACACAGCCTAAAGCAACTGAGCGACCTTTGCAACTGAGACAAGATTTTATGCATTTGCTTACACAAGACTAACTGATGGTGATCTCAAACTATGGTGACTCAGCTGTGTGCTCTGTGCAATCTGCATTTTGCATTGGCTGCAAAAAAAAGCTCATAGTAAGGTTTGTATCAGGTTCAAAACAAGTCAGTGTCTACATTACCTAATGGCATAGATAATGCCCCCCCCCCCCCCATGGAATGTTAGCTTCCAATGCTACTATTGTGTCATCTCTAGCTAGGAATATACAGTTTTTTCAGAAAGCAAAAATAGGAATTTCACTTTCCTTAAACATTTACCAAAGTGGTCTTCTACTATTTGTTCAGTTGTAATAAAATTAGACTACTCCATTGACTGACAGACTGTGAAGACAGTCCAGAGTAGTTCAAGTAGGTGAAGTGGATTAACCTGGGATAACAGTAACAGAATGACATCATGGGTGAATGGCACAATCTGTACTATACAGAAATGCATAGTTATGGATATGTGATGTATTCATTGTTATGTATCATTAATATGTACACAAAGGTAGAAAAATGCAGTATTTGGGTATTATTCTACAACTTGGCTATTATTCTAATGGGAGAGGTGACATTGCTAAGCTACAGGACTGTTTTGCTAGCACAGACTGGAATATGTTCCGGGATTCTTCAGATAGCATTGAGGAGTACACCACATCAGTCACTGGCTTCATCAATAAGTGCATCGATGACGTCGTCCCCGCAGTGACTGTACGTACATACTCCAACCAGAAGCCATGGATTACAGGTAACATCTGCACTGAGCTAAAGGGTAGAGCTGCCGCTTTCAAGGAGCGGGACTCTAACCCGGACACTTATAAGAAGTCCCGCTATGCCCTCCGACGTACCATCCAAACAGGCAAAGAGTCAATACCGGACTTAGATTGAATCGTACTACACCGGCTCTGACGCTCGTCGGATGTGGCAGGGCTTGAAAACTATTCCAGACTACAAAGGGAAGCACAGCCACGAGCTGCCCAGTGACACAAGCCTACCAGACGAGCTAAATCACTTCTATGCTCGCTTCGAGGCAAGCAACACTGAAGCATGCATGAGAGCACCAGCTGTTCCGGATGACTATGTGATCACGCTCTCCGTAGCCGATGTGAGTAAGACTTTTAAGCAGGTCAACATTCACAAGGCCGCAGGGCCAGATTTGCATACCACCTCAACAGATCCACAGATGATGCAATCTCTATTGCACTCCACACTGCCCTTTCCCACCTAGACAAGAGGAACACTTACGTGAGAATGCTATTCATTGACTACAGCTCAGCGTTCAACACCATAATGCCCTCAAAGCTCATCACTAAGCTAAGGATCCTGGGGCTAAACACCTCCCTCTGCAACTGGATCCTGGACTTCCTGACGGGCCGCCCCCAGGTGGTAAGGGTAGGTAACAACACATCGTTGATCCTCAACACGGGGGCCCCTCAGGGGTGCGTGCTCAGTCCCCTCCTGTGCTCCCTGTTCATCCATGACTGCATGGCCAGGCACGATTCCAACACCATCATTAAGTTTGCTGACGACACAACAGTGGTAGGCCTGATCACCGACAATGATGAGACAGCCTATAGGGAGGAGGTCA